GCCCGGCCCGGCTCTGCCCTCCGCCCTCCTCTCTCCTCTCGCCCGCCCTCCTTCCCGCCCTGCCCTCCCGGCCGCCGGGGAGGGAGAGCGGCGCGGCCCGAGGTGTCGGCCTCCCCTCGCCTCCCGCCGGCCCGGCCTCGGGCTCCCCCGCCTCCCGCCCTCCCGCCCTCTTCCTCTCCCGGCCCCCTCCCCCGCAACCCCGCTCCCCGCCTCGGACTCGCTCGCCCCGACTTTTGCGCGGGGCTCTGTCCGCCGTGCTCCCGGGACCCCGCCTCGCTGGGGCTCCAGGTGGCTGCCTCCCCAGATCTGCGGGTCGCCCGGGCTCCCCGCCGAGCGGACTCCAGGAATGCCGCGTCCCCGCCCGGCCCCTCTCGAGGGCGCCGGCCGTGCCTCCCCGGCCCGAGCCCTGCTGGCGGGGGCAGCCCCGGCGCCCGGCCTGGCTCGGGCTCGCCGGGGGCACGACGGAACCGGATCTCGGGCTCCCGGGCGGGGGCGGGGGCCAGGGCCTCGGACGCCTGGCTCCTACCTGCTCGGAGGTCCATGGGGCTGGGGGCCGGGCCGGCGGGCGCGGCTCCTCTCCCGGAGGCTGGCGGAGTGGGAGGGCGAGCCGCGGCTCCGGCGAAGCTTTAATAATCCCATCCGCCAGGCCCACTCGCAGGTTTTTTTCGCTCGGTTTCGGATCTTTTTTTTTTTTCGGTGTGGGACATTCTGCAAACTTTTTTTTTTTTTCTGACGTGTAAAGCTGTAACCACAAATTGTAGCGGCCCTCCCCGGGGTGGGGGGAGGCGGGGGGAGGAGGGAAGGGAGGGCTTCTGGGGCTCCTCTCCCTCCCACAACACCGAGGGGGGGTGAGGTGAGGCGAGGCTGCGGCGGTACCACCCCGAGCCTCCTCGGGGAGGGGGCGGGGAGGGCATCAGTCCGTCTGCAAACTCCGAGGGCTCCGGCAGTGAGCCGCCCGCTCTTCTTCTCCCTCGGTGTCGGCCTGGGGCGCCTGCCCCCTGCCCAGTGCAGGGTCCCTTCTCTCACCCTACCTCTGCCTCCTCATCACTAACCTTCCCCCTTTCCCCCTCCCCCTGAGTAAATGCAATGACACATTCTCCCAAATGCCAGCGAGCTGGCCTCGAAGCAAGTGATGGTGTTTTTCCTGCTGCCCTTTGTCTGGGCTGACCGCCCCCCTTGCCTATTGTCCCGCCGCCTGTCCCATTTCCAAAAGCTGGGACTAAGGCGCCGGGGCTGGGGCAGGTGACTAACCGGCTCACAATGCCCCCTTGGGGGGAGGAAGAGGGCACCACAGGCCCACTGCCCAGCTCGAGAGAAAGAAGAGAGCGCTTGGCCCAAAGCTTTTCCCTCAAGTTCACAAGGTTCTTCATTCTTCCTCCCAGTGGCCAGGAGAGCGCACATGGGTGGGGGATTTGTAATTCATTAATCAGCACGAGGCACCGGACCAGTTTCAACACCAGAGGCTTCCCGGGTGACTCAGCGGGAATGCTCCCATTCAAGGCGATGGACAGCCCAAGAGTCCCCATTTGTGAAATGCTTCCCCGTAAAGACATTTGGCTTTCTCCTGCCTTTGGGGTTTTGGGTTGTTGGTTTTTTCCGGTGGTGGGGTAGGGGTGGTTTGGCTGTGGAGTGCTCTCGCTCCTTCTTCCCTCAGGCCTGGGTTGGGACTTGCTGGGTGGGATACCTGGGGGACCCATAAGCCTAGACCCTCCCTGGAGGGTCTGCCTTCCTCCCTCTACAGAGGGCTGCCAGGGCGATCGCAGAGGAAACAGCTCTCCTCTGGGGCATGCCGACATCCCCACTCCGTGACTCTTCCTGCGGGACAGTCATTTGGTCTCCAAAGCCTGAATGCTCTAGAACCAGACCAGCAATTAAATCATTTGGTAATAAATTGCCTTTGTTGTTATTTGTTGTTTCAAAGGGGGAGAGGCAGTGGTGGGGCAGACCTGGAAGGTGATCCCTCTCTCTGGAATATCATCAGAGCCTTGGCTCCCCACTCCTGTCCCGCTGCCCCCAGAGAAAGGAGGGCGCCCCACCAGCCCTGCCACAGCCCCTCCAGCCTGCAGGTCAGAGCGGGCGTCATGGTCATGACCAGTGCTGGACTCCCAGGACAGCTCTTCCCTTTTCTGCACCGTGGGGGGGGGGGGGAAGAAGTTTGTTTTCAATTACCTCACTGGAGGGGGACAGACTTTGTTGTTGGGTTTTTTCCCTCTTCTTTCTTTCGTGGTTTTTTTTTTTTTTCCCCCTAAACAAGGAGAAAAAGAGCTGGGAAAGGGGAGCTGGCCTGGGGTTGGGGGTAGGGGACTTTCTGGGACATCAGCAGCAGCTCTGATAAAACCTGCCTTGGAGGGGCCCTTCTGAAAGGTGCTGGGGGGGGCTCTCTCTTCCTCCTCACCCTCCCCCAGCCAGAACGCTGGAGTTTCAATGACATCCTTGGCGGGTGAGCCCGACAATCTTTTGATGCCCAAGTCAAGGTCAAGGAGGCAGATGCCCAATGGGTGACTGGCACTGAGGCTGGCCAGGAGGTCCCCTAGCAGCCACCTTTTCAGAGAGAGAGGGAGCCACGAAGGGGAGCGGAAGGGGGAGGGAGAGGGGAGCAGCTCCAGTTCTTCTCCTCGGGTTTGCAGCCTGCCCCTGTGGAGTGTCTGCACAGACAATGTGGTTTGGATTTGGCTGAGCCCCCTCAGCACCTTATAAAGCACCTTGCTGAGTCAGGGAGAAAGCAGCCCCAACGCGGGAGAGGAGGAGGGGGCCAGGAGAGAAAGGGGAAAGGGAGAGAGGGGAGCTGAAGGAGGCGGGTGGGGGCTGAGGGAAGAGGAGGGAGGACAGAGAAGGCATGGGCAGGACAGAGGAGACACAAAGAGGAAATAAACGGTGGGAGTGGGAAGGAGGGAGGAGGCAGGAGCCAAGGAGGAAGAGGAGCAGACCGCAGTGGGAGGGGAGGGAGCTTACCATGTTGCCCCCTGGCTCCAGCAAATGTTCACCTTGGAGTCTGGAAAACATTGGTTTCTAGAGGAGGAACTGAGGGCTGCAGCTCTGAAATGGGGACCCAGGCCAGGTGGGTATAAGGACAATTGGCTTCCACACAGTTCCAGGGCTTGATGCCGGAACCCCACAAACGAGAAGTCCTTTTCTCCCTCTGCCTCCTGTCTGGACTTGCATCCCTGCCCTCTCTCCTCACCCAGGGGGTGAAGCCTCTCCCCTCCCCCACTGCCATCTTCGCCACTGCCAAAAGGAAAATCAGCTCCGTCTCCAAGCTGCCAGTGCCCCTCTGCCATGTCTGGGCAAAGGCAGCAGGCTAGGAGCTGCCAGTTGTGTTGGGGTGGGGGCTGGAAGAAAGACTGTGCCTTTATTCTGCCAAATCCCAAATGGGGGTGGGCTGTTGGAGTTGGGGGGAGAAGGAAGAAAGCAGAGGCAGAGCAGGAGTAGCCCCCCCTGGGTTTCTGAGGGGTGGCCAGGCCCAGGTGGCTGCCCTCTGATTTCTAGCTGGGGACCTCAGGAAAGTTCCTGCTCCCCTGTGGCTCTCAGGATTCTTATTGGGGGGCCCTTCCAGCTCTGACAATCTGGGCGTGCTGGTGGGGGCAGGGCGGAGGTCAGAGGAGACACCCACTCTGGATCCTGAGCTCCAGATCCATCTGTCCCAGGCTGCGGTGTGCAAGATTTCCTGAGCCCCTGCTGGGTGCCAGGCCCTGTAAAGGACAGAGGGACAAGGAAAACCTACCCTGCCTTCAAGAATTTCACAATCTTGTGACAAGGGACATTCATTAAACCATCTGAGATTAAGGGTGGTGAGGGAAGGAGAGCTCTGGGAGGAGGTAGAGCTTCAGGGTGGAAATGTGGCTGAATGGCAGGAGGGGCAGTGGCAACCACAGGCAGAGGTGCTGAGGTAGCGCTGGGCATAGACACACGGCTCCCTGCAGCGGGCAGAGGGCCAGGCTGGAAGTTAAGATGCCCGGCTTCCAATCGGCCAGCACAGCCTTGGGACATGGCCATCACCTCTCCATGGAATGGGACATGACCACCTCTGCCCTCCTCCCCACAGGATGGTGGGAGTATCAGTGAGCTGATGAGGAGGATACTGCTTTGCTGCCTTCTCTGGCCTTCCAGACTCCAGGCCTCACCATCCACGTGGGGGTGGGGGGGTGGCAGAGCTGGCACCAGGTGATGACTGAGCTGCCCTCCAAGGGTGTGGGGGTGAGTCAATGTTGTCTCAGGGACAGGCTAGCCCGCCCCATCTCCCGTCCCTCTTCCCCTAACCAGCATCCCCAGGGAAGGCTCTCCAGGTGCAGTTGCAGAATTGGCATTGAAAGGGCCCTGGCCCCCGGGGTGTCCTGGATTCTCACACTAGGGAAGCCTGTAGTCCGGTCACCTCTGAGGGGTGGGCAGGGGTGTGGTGTTGGAGAAGCCTACAGAGGTAAGAAATTCACTCATTCATTCATCTTTTCACTAGACATTCCCTGAATACACACTCCGTGCCAGGTCCCAGGGACACAGAGAGGAGCCCTGAGGGCCCATGCGGTTGAGGGCAGGAGAGGCAGGGGCCCTCCACGGTGGCTCCACAGCGACTCTGCCAGCCTGCCGCAAGGCCTGGCGTTTCTCGGTGACACATTACTCCTTTGGGCCTCTAGTTTAAATGTCCTGAGCTCTTACCAGGCTTTACATGGACGATTTCATTTCTTTCTTACAATAGCCCTATAAACTAGGAACTGTAATTTCCCTATTCTATACATGAGGAAACTGAGGCTCGGTAAGATGAAGTCATTTGTCTAAGTCACACAAGTGGTAGAACCAGGACTGGAACCCAGGAATGTCTGCCTGCAGCGCCACGCCCTTTTATATCGTGCAGGTGCAAACCTTGGGGTGGAGGCAGGGAGAGGGGCACCAAGGCAGGGGACTCTTGAAAGAAGAGGCTGGGTGCTGAGAGCAGCCGCAGTGATAGCGAGACTTGCTGAGGGCCCCCTGGCTATGAGGTATCTAACCTGGGGCATGCCTGGTCTCTTCAGGACCCTAAGACATTCCTTGGGACAGAAAGATAGTCCTCATGTGCCTGGACTCTCCTGCCCACCACCCACTGCCCACTACTGACATGAACTGACTGTGTAATGCTAGGCCAGGCACCCTACATCGCCTCCTGGTTGGTGAGAGGCACCACCCCGAGAGTGCTCAAGTCCCCCTCAGCTAGAATGGTAGCTTCCAAGAGCTGGGGATTTTGAATCATGGAATGAGCATTGAACTGGGAATTAGAGGGCCACCCGCCCACAGAACCAGGGCAAGGGCTTCCCTGTGCTTCCTGAGGGCCCGACTGTATGGCCTGCAAAGGGAGGCACTAGGTAGGCTCAGAGCCCCGCCTGAGCTGCCAGGGCCTAACAGGCCCCCTGGGATCCGCATCCCTAGGAGGAGGGCATCCTCTGCACCACCACGAGCGCTCTCTCCAGCGTGAGTACGCAGGCACCAGAGCCATCGAGGGAAGGACGGGGAGGAAAGGCAGCAGGAGTGTGCACTTTCCCTTTCCCTCCAGTGGGCCGGAGCCCAGAGGGCCCTGCCTCACCCTGAGCTGGCCGTGATGTCAGCAGAAACCCCAGGGCCTCAGCAACCCTCAGCCCTACCCTGCCCTGCATCCCCCACCCACACCTGGACCAGCTCAGGCCTCCTGGAGGACACTGCACCCACCCACCCCCTGCTTCCCCCGTGAAGCTGAGAGGAACCAGGTCCTGTCCTGCTGCTGCCTCTCCCCTGCCCTACCTGGGCTCTGGCTCCCCGTCTGCAAGGATGTCTGGGTGATGGGTGTGTGAGGAGGGCTGGGGCAGAAGGGTTACCCCCAGGTGTTCAACTCCTCCCTCGCCCGCCAGGAGCTTTCCCCGCCATCCTCGCAGGATGTTCCACTGCCCTGGCCAACCCATGCCGCGGGCTCCGTGACTCCGTCTCCCCTGGCAGAGGAGTGGGGTTACCTCTCCCTGGGCTGGAAGATCCTTATCCTGCCCTGCTGAGTCACTGCCGGCTCCTCCCGCTCTGTCCCCTCCCTCCCCACGGGCCTCCCTCCTTCAGGCTTCCCTGGGCTTTCTCCAGACTGTCTGGCTTCCTCAGGAGACTCGCCCAGGGGTCAGAGGATGGACAGCACCTTTCCTGGGATCACTGGGCAAGTGACCTTGGGCAAGTCACTTGACCCCCCTACACCTCAGTTTTCTCTTGCATAAAACAGGGATGATGATAACGGTACCTTCCTTAGAATAAGGGATGACTGAGTTAATACAAGTCAAATCTCTGGCTGTTAGCACTCAATAATGGTAAATATTATTGTCGTCTGCCCCTCATGCCCTATCCTCCTGTCTCTGCTAATGATGTCCCCTCTCTAGACTGCCACCTTCCCCTTGCAAGCCCCCCATGTCTACATGTCTGCACCTTCTCTATTCTTTTCATTCTGTCTTCTTCCTGAATCTCATCACCCCGACTCCGACTCCCCACACGGGGCACAGACACAGAACTCTCTAGGGGCCGTTGCTCATCTCTCCTCCAACAATGAACCACTCCTGAGGATGTGACCTCGCATCCCAGACGGCCTCCTCCTAGGGGCTCAGTGTGCTGAAGGGGAAGGGCAGACACTCAGGCCACAGTGAGCTCTGAAGGAATGAGAAGGGCCAACTGATGCTGGTGTGCAGGTGCCAGCCCCATCTGTCTGCATGACGTGGGTGGTTTGCGTCTGTGCGGAGCCCACCCATCCCCGGCCCCCACAGACAACTTCCACCTCAATAGAGCACTCTGAGCACACGTCAGCGTCAGCCGCTGACCACTGCAAAATGTGATGAATGAAATAGGGACTCTAGAACTCAAAAAGGTGTTCAAAGGGCTGTGATGCAGAGAAAGGAGAGGTCAGAGGAGGGAC